TTATAAGCTGTTTCTCAGGTGGAGGACTAACATCCAAAATATATGAATAGCTCAAAAAATTAGAGCTCCCCCGAATAAAAGGCCCAGTCCAAAAGCAGGCAAATTAATTAAATTAATTGTACTTCTCAGAAAAAAGTACAAATGAATAAAAGCTACATTTAAAAATGTTCTAGTGTCTCTACATGTTAGAGAAACTCTAAATAATACAACAGTGAGGTTCCATCTCACTCCAGACAGAGCGGTCACCCTCAAGAAATCAAATAACAACAAACCCTGGCCGGGCTGAGCAGTGGGGATCGTCCTTCCGCTTGTGTTGTAGATTTTGACTCTTCATTAGTCTACTTTTCTTACTTTGTTAGCAGATTCAATGAGTTTTCTGCTTGGAGACAGCAAAGCCAGCAAGCAGAAGAAGGAGATAAAGGAATAAAGGAAGTTTATCACTCGCAGCAACAAAAGACAGCACCAGAGATGCCTCCCAGGGCTGTGTCTCTCCGCGTGGAGGAAGCGAGAGGATGCTATTGAGGGGGCTCATCCACAGCCAGGTGGGAGAGACTGGTCAGTGCTCAGGGGCCGGCACACTTCTGCTCGCATGTGTCGTGCTTCAGGCAGTGGACAGCAGCACCCCCGGGGACAGAGCTCAGCACTGCAAGGACACTGTAATGAGCAAAGCTCTCGGTGGGTGGCCTAGAAGAGAGCTGTTCAGTATTCACTGGCGTAAGCTGCTTCTTTGTGTTGTTTCTCAGAAAAACTTATCTGAAACAAACAAACGAATAACAAACAGAGAAACTTGAAGGGGTGTTAGCGGTCGTGAGGGGTAATAGTGCTTTTCCTGGAAACACAGGGTTTAACCCTGCCTGGAAACTAAGCCTTTCTCTGCTTTAATCATCACATAAGCTTCTCGGTGCTTAGCTTTTCCTGCTAGCCTTTCCCTGAGGGAGAGTATTTGTTACTGTGAACAAAGCACGGCCAGTCCTCCATTTCGCTCTCTCTCTCCCTCTCCCTCTCCTCTGTCATACTTCTCCACAGTGCCAAAGAGAGAATTCAGACAGTCTTCAAATGTCAGCCCGCGGATGCCAGCACAAGTTCCTAATTCAGCACCACTAAGTAACAGTTTTAGCTGTTTCTACACCTTTGGGCTCCTCCTCATCTGCTTTTCCCGTGATCTCATTCTTTGCTTGATTTCCTGCTTCTGACCACTTACCATCAGTGAACTGCAAATGGCATGAAAGCATACCCCTGAGTCCTGTGTGCATAAAATAGATACTGCACTACACAGTTTTCTTTTCCCTTTCATAGACCAATAGAAGGTGAAACTGAGAACTAGCCATAATGTAGATGCTTAGGAAGATGCTGCATTGTGAATGCCAGCACCAGAGCGTGGCAGAAACACACCGGTGGATTAAATGTCAAACGCACTGAGTGGTCACATGATTTCCTACTGTGTGTGGAACCCTCACACATAGGAATTCTCTAAGGCACTGATTAGCAAGTTGAGAGAAGGTAAGGGCTGACAGTACCCCTGGCAGTCCCAGTTCCTGGCCTAGGCTACCTTTGAATAAGAAGGTTACTGAACTCTCTCCTTCCCCAAGGAGACCTTTTTCATTAGCCTTGGCCATCTGTACTGATCAGTGTTATGGTGTGAAAGTTTTTGTGCTCAATTTGAACCCCAAAATCTCATACAGAAACTATAACCCTCCAGGTGATAGTGAGGTGGGAAGCAGACAGTGTTGGAGTGTTAGGCTCCCAGCAGACAAGTCGCCTTATGGCATTTGGAGACCAGGGCCCCAGGACCAGGTACCCTAAGTAGTTCTGGGAAGCAGTACAGCCATGGTCATTGTGATTAGCATTGCACATGACATCAAAAGAAGCCTTCCAGACGTGAGGATGGAGCTTTCAATTAATTAGACAGAGTCCCCTCAGGTCCACCCAGACTTCTGACCTCTGAAAGGAGCCAAATAAATACCTCAAAGCCTCAGCAGTGAGGGCTATGCTGAGCCAAGCTCTCTGTTGAGTTTCCTTATCAGCAGGATCCAGCTCTAAGAAGATTGTTTTTCTCTAATAAATTTCTGTCTTTCTTATTGTTTCCATGTCTCCTGCTCAGCTCTTGGTTCAAGATACAGGGAGGTTGAATTTGGGTAAGGCTGAGCCCATATGTCTGGTCACAAAGGTAGTAGAGGCTAGAGCATGTGGCGGGTGATTAGATCAGGGTGGATCCGTGCCCTTACCAACACTGCCCAGGGAATTCCTTTGTCCCTTCTGCCATGTGAAATACATCGCCGAAGCAGTGCCTGTGAACCAGAAATTCAGACTTTTTTAAATTCATTGACTTTTGATTTTTCAGAACTATGCAAAATGAACTTCGTGTACGTGTAAGTCATTGAATCTGGGTGTTCTGTTAACAGCAGCACGGATGAGTAAGAACGTCTGGATATTTTACTATCTTCTTTCATCATTTTTGCCAATGTCATCTGTCTTAGTGAATTTCTCCTTACTGTGACACAATTTCTGACACCCCCAACACAAAGGAAGAGAGGTTTACGTTGGTTTATAGTGTGTGGAGGTTTCAGTCTGTAGTCAGCTGCTCCATGGCAGGGTGGCGTGGCAGAGAGGCATCATGGCAGGGCAGCAGGAAGTAGGGAGATAAAGGGAAGAGACAAGGAGAGAGACCGCTATAGTCCACGCCTCAACCACCTTCCTCCTCCAACCAGAATTCAACTTTCAACATCACATTTAGCTATAATCTCATCAGTGGGCCAATTCCCTGATGTGTATCACACAGTCATGAGGAAGTCATCTCTGAAAGGTGACGCCTATGAGCAAGTGAGGCTTTGGGAGGTGGGGGTCATATCTAGTTATAAACGATAACATCATCTCAGTAAAGCAAACCAGATCATGTTATGCAAGTCTTAAACAATACATAATGACATAAAAAATTAAGTACAAACTCTTCTTGTATCTATCAGACTTCTTTATGTATCCTTTTTATAGCTACTCTCAAACTTGTAAAGCAACTAGCCATGCCCAAAATCAAATTGGATTTGCTGAATAATATTTCTGTATGAAAATCAATATAAATTTTTCATTGATGCCTTTTGTGAAAACACATCTCCAGCATCCTGCCTTGCTAATTGAAGAAGGTCCCAGCCTTTTCCTTCTGCACAGAGAATTCATTATGCTTTGACATATTCTAATATCCTCCGGCAACCTCAGCCTGAATGGACTTCTTAAGGGTTGTTAATCTTTCAAACATCTACGCTTTTAATTTTCATTCTGAAGCATCATATTATATATTTTTCTCCTATACAGAAAGGTCAGCTATTGTACTGTTGACACAATGACTATTTTTCCTTAGTACCAAATATCTTCGATTTTTCCAAGGATTTGGAAATGCATAATTCACCTTAGAATGATAGAATTTTACAAGATAAAAGCATTTTAAACTCACTCCTACAGTAACTGTTAATAGGTTCTGAGTAAAGGACGGATAAATCAATGCTTAGTAAACTTTCTGTCATTGTTATTTATTTTCCCCTCTCAGGGAACTTTGAAATATTTTTTTCTCGCTTCACAGGATGGGGAAAGCCAGCAATCACTTGTGGCTGGACTTCTGAACCTGCAGTGTGGTCTGGTTTCAGCAATGTCATGATAAATGGCTATGCAGCCTGCACGCGGTGCCAGCTACCTTGTGAAGGATTTTGCATACATTAACCAATGTGCTCTTTGCAGGCACACTATGCAATAGGTACCATTGAAATTCCACTTTGCGGAGAAGGAAGCTGAGGCTCTGAAAGGATAGAAGTCTTCACTGAGGTCAGAGGGCTCATAACCGCCAGAGACAAAATGTTTGCCTCTAAGATTTCAATCTTTGCTCTACTCCCCCAACCCCCATCCACATGTAAATTGTCCAAGGTCAGTAGGTTAGATTTTTATTTACTCTTTTCATTTCCTTCTCTTCTCCTTCATATTTTAATGTAGGTGGCCAAGCTTTCACTTTTCTGTACATTCAGATATCTAATTGCAGTTTTGGTAATTTACACATTTTTATATTAGCCTGCCTACTTTATATAGTCATGGTTGCAAGATGGAACTGTGGAAGTGAAAAAGTTGATCCAACATTTGAAGAACTTTCTGTGGCTTGGGCATCTATGATGTGTGAGATCCGCAATTACCTTGTCAGCTTTGAAAAACATTCTCTGCCCTCAGAATCAATTTGGAAAATTTCCAGGTCAAAGTCAGTGTGCCCCACACACAGTCTCCCTGACTCCTGCTGTTCTGGAGCCTGGAGCAACAGGGCTTTGAGGCTTTTCAGACACCACAGGACCTCAAGTGTGTGGACAGGAGCCAGACCTATTGCGGAAATGAGCCTTACTTAATGACCTTTCTTCTCATAACTTCTATGGATACTTTAGGGATAAAAACAGGGTGGCTCTGTAATGGGCCATCCAAGCTGGACAGCATACTTAAGAATTAAATGAGATGCTTCACAAATTATAGTGGAGCAGCAAACTTAACCAGCCTGGTCAATTCCTAGGCACGAAAACTGATGTATACATAGTACAAGCACGTATATATGCATAGCTCTTCCTGTAGTCACATTAGTAATAGGAAATTAAACAATGCATATGCGTAGTTTTCACGCTTAGTATCTCACTTCCAGGCAGTGGGTGCTCCTGAATCAGTTAGGAGTCATGAGAGGACCAGATTTAATGCAAAACTAAGATTGAGTAGGAAGCCCAGAGACAGACATCTGGACACGAGGGTGGAGACTGCAGCTCCTTGGAAGAAGCTCAGGTGAGACTTCCCCCTTCTTTCCTCTTTATTCCATCCGGGCTACAAGGCCAGTGGCTGGCATTGCCCATTGTGACTACATGAAGAGCTATGCATATATACGTGCTTGTATTATGTATATATCCAGGGCGGGTCTCTCTCATTCAGTAAGACCGTCATTAAGACACCCCCAAAACTCTGCTAAACTGATCTGCTTGGGATTTCTTGTTCAAGTTGACACTGCAGTGGTCACAGTTCCTCACCCATAGATGAATCATTACCTTCCAGGTGTGGTACAAAAACCTCACAAACTTAATCAACCTTTCAATACACACACACATAAACACATACATACACATGCACATGCATGTTCATACACAAGCTTCATGGGTACCATTTTATTTATTGCTAATTTACATAACACAGGCCTATTTTTAACAGGTATCTTATCATTTATTATCAAACATGTAAACTTCCCTGCTTTTCAAAGTTTTAATCAGTTTTGAACTGTAATCCCACTGCATAATTCTAATCTATTTTTCAGCTTCATATATCCCATAGATTTCAAATTACATTTCCTTGAGTAATTCTTTTCTCCTTTCCAACCTCCACTTACCGCCAGCACTCAGATGGAATGACCTTGTAAGCAAAGTGCCTGCAGCTCTTCTGTTGAGATTTAGTGACTTAATCTGAATTTCCACTAAGCCACCACTCATAGCTGCACATGGAGGTGGACTCTGGCTGAGGCGTCGTGGCTGGGGGCTGAGTATATGTGATTAGGAGAGAA